TATATATATATGTTTAGAATTCACATAATTGAACGTTAGTTGACTACTGTTGATCAACGCTGATGCTAACTAAGAATTGGTGCATTTTTGGATTCTGCACTGACAATTCAACCGAGGTTACTGCATTTTATTCTTTACTTCTCTTCTAGTTTTTTTTGATATTTTTAAATTAAAAGCAAATTTTGGCTAATCTAGTATTTAGTGTTGTTATCTGTGGGCTAAAGCCGTGGATTGGTTGTCATCATCTGTTGTTTTTATAATGTCTTCAGAGCAATTTTTTTGCCCTTTCTCAAAAAAATAACGAGAATGATAAATTGGAAAAGCTTTTTGAATACTATAGCTTACTGCACATTAAGCTTGCTCCAAATTATTATTGCCTTATTCTCCTCCAAAGTCATTCAATATATGGGTACAATTTACGGCTGAAAAGGTGATATTTCTTTGAAGGTTCCAAGCCTAAATTCTTTGTCGTTTTTATTGCTATCTCTTTTCCATCCTCCTAGCTGTTGAACTTACAAGTAGTTAAGAGTATGAAAAACGGAAATTAGAAGGTGAGTAACAGAGGTAAAAACAGTGATTAAAAGTTGCATGTTAAAATCACATCAATTTTTAGAATATTAAAGCTGTGGAAGGTTTGGCGTTAGTCGTGTTTTTTTTCTTTTTTTACTTCCTATTCGCCCGTATTTGGAAGCAAATTTTGTGCAGCTAGCTAAACCTTTAATAACTAAAAGGCTTCAAGAAGTGGAATGGATTCTTATTTTTGAATTCAGACACTACTCAAGATACGGAGTATGAATTTTATTATCGCCGTGTAGTAGTTCTACATTACCAGTAATAAGCGTTTCATCTGTTCTGTTTTAAATATGTTCTTTTTCTTTTAAAAAATGGAAATAGTAATTGCCCAACTTTACTGATGGCAACTGGTTTAGGGATTGATGGGAAAAATTTTGTCGCCGTCAAAAATATTGACAGATGAAAGAATTCTCGAATAAAGAAAACATTTTTTACAGCAACTTTTCTTCTATCAAAAAACACTTTTTTACGCTTTTGAAGCTTTCCCCGTCAGCTCCAACCATTTTACTGTTTGATTAGAAAACATCATGAACCAAAATCGGATCAGCAACAATTTACACGTTCTCTGACACCAGTAACCGGGTTCTAACAATAAATTTAACTTTTACCGAATTCGGGCAGAACTGCAGTTGGTGAAGCACCAACCTCTTTTACACTGCTTTGCCTAACGATACCGAAACGGTAAAAAAATTCCTTGTAATTTTTGAAGAAGTAAAAGCTAATAGTGGCGATTGGAAAGAGATGAAAAAGTTGTTAAAATTTATGGAAATAACTTTCATGCTGTGTTGATGGTAAACCAAAACTGGAGGTCAGTGGCGATGCGTACCAAAGTTGTAGTTGAAAGATTTTAATTTTTTTTTTTGACTGCATTGCCAGATTACAAGTTTAGGAACATTATCTGCTCTGCAATCTTACTTCATTTTGTAAACCAAACTGCTATGAAACCGTGCGTTAGAAAAATCGAGAAACGAAGCTCGTTATCTATGCTTTCGCCCTGTTATCCTGTTCTTTACATTCACCTGGCAGTTATGGGTTCCTCGACATCGTAATTATTTAGTTTTGGCGATCCTGAATCATTTTCAATTCTCAACTCTTCAGTAAGTTTCTACCTCCACTGAGTGCAATTTAAAATACGGTTATTCAGGAAACTGTTTTGGAAACTGTACCTAACGAATAGAACAGGAAATAGTATTTGTTGCTGAAGAGAAGTAGAGTTGAAACCAGGCAGCCAATAATTTAAAGAATAAGCGCCGCTAAAAATGTGGTTACACTGGTGGTTCTTTTGGGCGAGTGCGGCAATGACATTGGCTGTTGAAAACAGTGCCTGTTGCAAGGCGAGAAACATCGTTTGGTCAGATTCTTAGCATTCGGAGGAATCTTTCTGTTTGCCGGTTTCATCCGGAACTGCATCTCATTTGGAGCACACGCTATTTTCACTCCAAGAGCCGTGCGCTTATTAGTTTTTTCAAAAATGTTTTTCTAGCAAAATTGTCTAAGCAAGTGGTTCTTGGATGACGTTTTATTTGTCGGTTTGGCGAAAGTGGTGCTCAGTTGTTGCAACCAGTGGAAAGTATAAGTCTGTTTCAATTTCTGATGAGCTTTACTTCTTAGAAAGTAAAAATACGAAAAGAGGGATCGGGTTTTACTGGTTTCAAAAAGTTGTCTTTTCAAGCAATGTTATCAAAATTTTCCGGATTTTTTTT